CAATGATGCCTAACATCCATGGGAGCAGCCTTGCTGGAGCAAGGCTGCTGGCTCCACTGTGGGTGCGACTGCGATCCCTCCTGCCACTCGGAGACCTGTCACGTCCCGCTGAACTTGAGCTTCTGATCCGATCTGAGCTGAGGCTGTACCTTGCAGGCGAGCGCCTCTTCCCGTTCGGGCTGGTGTCGACTGCCTCCCCTTGCGCGCTTTCCTGACGCCACGTGCGCTCATGACGTGTGCGCCGCGAACACAAAAATACGGTCTGTAAGAAAACTTGCTGCCGCACGAGGGCTCATAGAAAGGATCGTATGTGTGAAAGGTCACTTCCGGCCAGCGGCCTCAAGCCAGACCTCACGGCTGCGACCAGGTTCCCTAGTCGTCGAAGTCCCGCGGTTAGAACAAAAGGTGGAGGAAGAGAGAAGAGAGGAGCGAGGTGGCCCGTCTCCCGTGTTCGCTGTCGTCTGGGCTCGCAGCACAATCGTCGAAGAAGGCTCAGTCGCCAGCGAGCTCACGCTGACGGCCAGCCAGCTCGCCACTCCGCCGCTTCCGTCTTCGCCGTTCGAGAGGGGCGCCTGCTTCTCCTCCGCATAAGCCGAGCGCGAAGACGCCCAGGCCCGTCGGGCAGAAGGCGGGGGCCTCCCTGCTGCAAACGAAAGAAACGCCCGTGCCGCGGCCTGTGCCGCCGCCCTGTCGTGCAGCGTCTTCGAGAAAACCAGCGCGCTCGCGCGCAGCGGCGTGCCCCTGCCGTTCCAGCACATCTTCCAGCGCAACGGGTATCTCAGGAATCAACTGCCAAGCTCGTCAGGTGAGAGCTCAGCCACGTGGTGCACAAAATCCCCACTCCCCAGCTGGCAGCCTCCGCACCGTCCAGGCTGGGGCAGCGGGCTCCCAGCCTGCTCTGCGCTACCAGTGGGACTGGCAGGACACTTGGGGAGCCTCGCAGCGCGCCACCAGCGCCGCCGTCTTGAGTGCCCCGCCAGGCTACCACGCCGGCGCATGCGCCCGCGGCGGCCCGCGCGTGCTGCTGGCCGGAACGATCACCAGCGGCCTGGCCTGCACCAGCGCCGGCGCCTGCGCTGGCACTGGCGTCAGCCAGCATCATCGCGAGCACTGGCGCCAGCGGCTGCCGCGGCCCCAGCGCCATCTTTATCGCCCCCTACCGTCGTGGACGGGATGGCCGTCGGAGGGGCTCACCCTCCTCCTTCTGCTCCTCCTGCTCCTGCTGCTCCCCCTCCTCCACCGCTGGCAGGGGTTGACCAGTTCTCCGAGTCCCGGCTGTGTCATCCGGCTGTGTCACATTCTGGACTAGGGCTAGTTTGACCCAGCGGCCAGCCAAGGGGGGAAGTGAGAGAGGGCAGGCCTTCTCAACGGCGGCGGAGCTTCTCAGCAGCCCTCGCGGCAACTGAGAAGACCTGCCCCCTCTCACTGCTCTCACTGCCCCCCTGCGCTCGCCGCCGCTTGACAGCCACTTCTCGCCGCGCGCAGTGGCCCGCCAGGCCGCAGCCGTACCTCGTGGTGCCTCCTGCGAGCTGGCGTCAGTGCGCTCGCGGCCGCCCACGCTTTCCCACTGGCGTGGCCGCGGCCTGGCGCGCCAAGCGCTGCTCGATGCGACGCGCTGCCCATCCGCTCAACTCGCGAACCGCTCCAGCCAGATTTTTACGGAGGACGAGGAGGAGGAGGAGGAGGAGGAGACAAGTGGGAGGAGGAAGGGGAGTAGAAGCATGAGGAGACCAAGTTGATGTATTGAGAATCGGTCCGCAGGCCGCGACGTCTAGGTACTCCACGAGCTGTACTAGGAGATCCTCGCCAATGCAGCGCCTGGCGTGCCGAATCTAGCCGACGCACCTCCCGCTGCTCGCCTCACAATGACGAAGCAGAGAGATTTCTCCAGCAACAGATCGACTGCTTGTATTAGAGCACTCGGACAGCAACTAGCTCGTAGCGTACCAACGGAGTCGCGGCGCTGCGAGCGAAGCGCTGCGCGCGCAGTCTTGCGTGGGCGCAACTGATGAGCTCATCGCAATTGTAAGCTTGCAGGAATGTGTGCATCGTGCACATCTTGGCAACAAAACAGAATGTTCAAACAGAGCCACTACTTGTGTGTGGCTGTAGCTGCAAAGCGTCAGCATACCCTCTGCGTCCCCACCTCCACCTCTAGCGCATACTCAATCCCACCGCCAGTGTGACGAAATGGACCGTGCACAATCCGAAGCTATTGAAATCCTTCCTGCGGGGCATTTGAAAAGGGCTCTAAGGGTGCGAAATCCATGTCTCGCAACGAATGGATGGCCGATCGTGGGAACGTTGCAGGCTGCACTCCTCGTTTCGACAGAGGAGGAAGGATCGCGCCAGGGTCTGGCGCCTGGCCCTCAACAGGATGATCTCCTCTGCGCATGCCTCCACAGTGCTATGGCAAGGTTGCAAGCGAGATCCCGTGGACGGCGCTCTCAGAGGGCGTCCACCTGGATCAGCGAGTCCACCGACGTCACCGTTGTGTTGGTGCTCGACGACCTGTTCCAGCTGGTGGAGCTGGCCGGCCTCATGGCAGAGGCCCACGAGGAGGGGTCCGCCGGCTGCAACGCGGGGCCCCGCGGGGGGGCCGCGCGACGCGCCGCGGCCAGCACAGCCAGGGAAGACGGCGCCGGCGCCCACGACGAGGCCGCGCCGCGCGCCGCGGCCGGCGGCGTCCCGGCCGCAGAGGTCCGACTCATCGCGGCGGCCCACGGCGAGCTGGCCAGGGCCGCGGACTCGCCCTGATCAGGGCCCCCTAGACCAGGACACTGCTCACCAGCGCTCCGAAAATCCCACCCAGAGAAACCGAATCATGGAGAATGTTTCGACCCACGGCTGCAATTTCTCGGACGCGCCAATGTCATGGTTTATCACCAAACTTTCGTTTAGGGGGCCCTGACCTGCTTCGCGGCGGCGCCTCCGGGTCCAAGGCTCCCTCGGCGTCCAGCGTTTCTGTGGTTCCTGGAGGCCGCCCAGCATGGGGCCAGAGCAACGGGACGGGGTCCGGGGATCGCGCCACATCGCCGATGCGCAGGCGACGTCGGGACGGCGACAGCCGTGCCCCGTATCGCGGCGCATCGCGACGCGATCCTCCCACCCCGTCTAACTACTCGGGCGTTTGGGCGGCCTGGGGCTCCTGAGAAGCACGGGCAAGGCTGGCCTGCCGCCAGCCGACGCGCCGTTGGACGCCAGCTCGTCGCTGTCGAAGCTGGAGAACACTTCGAAATCGCTGTCCTCCTCGTCGCTGTCACATCTGGCCGCCGCTGCCTCCGCGCTTCTGGCGGGGAGCTGGCTGGCCTCTGGGGAGAACCTCTGGAGGCCCAGCGATGTGGACCTGTCGGGGTGAACGAAAAAGGGGGCCAGCAAAGGGTGGCTTAGCGAGCCAGCTGCTCTGTGCAGCTGGTTTTCAAGGCGCTGGGGGGCTGCCATGGATCGAGGACTTTGCCACTCGGCGGGGCCGACGCCAGCTGCATGTCGCAGATGTCGGACTCCTGTTGGCATGCCCGGCATGGTGACGCCAGACTTGGGGGCTTGGCATGAAGGGGCAGGGGCCCTGGCGGAAGTGGGCCCTGGCCCCTGAACTCTCCCTGGGCACATTTGCTCATTCTGAGTTGCTTTCGTTGGCGTTCCCATGAACACACACATGCTGCAAAGGGACTGAATTGGATTTAGAAAGGCTCTAGAACCCAGAATCCGAAAAATCTGCCGGCGGCGTGACGTGCCATGTCGTGCTGTGCCGTGCCTTGCGCTGCCACACCAAGCACGCCTCTTATAGGTGTTGACTCACCATGTATGTTTTCATGCAGCGTTGCTGTTTAGGGTCTCTTTACACGGAGTCAACTTCTGAACTTTCCGGGCGCACAGCATCCGCTTCTGCGGGGCGAATATGCCTTAGAACGTAGTTAGGTGGCACATCAAATGCAAAACGCGCCAACGGTGGCCACGGAAACCCGTGAAATTCTTACCAGGGAGCCTGGCCTGCAGATGCCCCCGGGAGACCGACAACGGCGCGAGACCTGGAGGACCGCGCCCGCAGTGACGCTCGATAGCAAGTGTCGTCCGAAATGGACAGCGACTTCTGGAGGTCAGACGGCGCTCGCCTCGTTCACACGGGTCCCGCACGCCATCGAGTAACCGGCACCGATCATGGCCAGGCCAATCCTGAGCCCCGGATCGGTGTACACACCTTCCCTGCCACGGCAGGAGAGCGTACGTATACACCGATCCTGGCTAGGATCGGCGTATGTGTGCAACTGGCGTCCCCCGACATCCCCTCCGTCCCCGCTTCGACCCTGTGGAACCTTGAGGCCACCGTGGGCGACATCAGATCGCCGCCGCAATTCCCGGTGCCCAGCGAGATCGAGATCGTGTCGCGGCCCGGGCTGAACAGCCCCGGCGTCAGCCTGCCGCCCGCCGCCCTCGGGGCCGGGCCCTGGGCCTCCGCGTCCCAAATCCTGTCGTCCAGAGTGCCTGGCGTGACCGGCCCACAGCGACGCGGGGATCGATCCTGCCTCGGCCTCCAGCGCCCGTCAGAAACCTCGAGAAGGACGACAGCCATGCGCACACGCCGATCCTGGCCAAGTTTATTTTGGGGCCAGGGTCGGTGCATACGCCCTCCTGGCCTGGCCAGGCAAGCACACGTTTACACCAACCCTCGGGGCCCACGGTGGGCCAGGCCGGGATGCATGTGCGTGCGTGCTGTTAGCCCGAACCTTCTGCCAGAGCTGGGCGAGAGAGTCGTAGAAGTCCTCCACGGGAAAGGAACCTTCGTCCTGCGCGTCCCGCCCCAGGGCCCCATGACTCTTGGTCTGGCTCGCCTGATGCTTCTCCGCCGCGCCGCGGCTGAGGCAGCCACCGCACTTGAGCTCCGCCGCCAGCTCCAACATCTCGGAGAATGCCGTGGGCTTAGTGAAGTTACGGGAGCCCCGGTGGTTGCACCGAGACCCGTAGAGCACCAGCATGAGACACCCCTTGACGTGCCTGCACCGCGCGATCACCCCCCCCCCACTGATGTCGAGCTCGTCTTGCAAGTCCTGTAGCCGCTTCTTCTTTCTCAGGCGCTCCAGCTCGCACTGGTACAAAGCTTCCCGCAGAATCGCCGACAATTCGTCTGGCCGGAAGACCTTCTTCGTTCGCTCCTTCGCGTCCTCGCTCTCCTTGGCGCTGAGCATGTGCCTGTGCGTCGTCTCGCTCAGAGCCTCAAGAAGATAGTTCTTTTCCTTCTTGTTCAATTCTTCGATGTGTATGAGCAAGCTCCCGTCCTTCTGCTCGAACTTGGCATGGTTCTTGCAGCTCTCAAGCTTTAGGAGTGCATTCTCCAGCACCGTCATCTCGCTGGCGCCAACAACGTCTTGCTTCAGCGACAAATACTGCAACACAATGTTGCGAAACAGCGACCACATCGCGAACGCCAGGAACCAAGCATTGCACAAAACGGGAATGCCCACCAACAGCGCGTCCGTGACTGTGTTCTTGAATAACTGGTCATAGAGATACTGGACCCTGAATTCTTCGCGTATATCGAATATCAATCGTGAGGTCAACGTCGCTGTGAATGCAACTAAGCTGATGAGGTCCAATCGGTCGAAACAACTGTAGCTGCGATTGTCGAACGGCCTGGTCTTGAGGTGCACGAGGATGAATCCCCAAGATAAAAACAACAACATCAGGACACGGCCCCAGGGGCTGGGAAACGCAAAGACCAGCGCTACAGCAACCTTTCGAAACATGTAGACAGGCTCAAAATACCAATACTTCAACTCGAAACCATTGTAGAGGAAACCGTACGCCTCCCTGACTTCACGCGTCAATAGTTTGTTGCGTTTCCTGTAGAGCGCCAAGAACAATATTATCGGCGTGCCAAAACCATAGGCGATGATTCCGCCGATACTCCAATACGCCCAGGCCATCCAATCGTCAGACGAACAAGTCACGTCCACGTCATACACCTGACGAAGGACGTCATACTGCTGGCATTGCAGGCCCGACACCAACATCCGTGTGACGAGCGCATGGAGGATGAAACTCATCACAACAAAAGAATTCATGATTTTCAAGCCGACCTTTTTCGCGACCTCCTTCGTGGACTTCGTCTTCCCGGATATCGCCGTCATGGCTGGGGAGGTGTTGTTGGTAGTGCGTAGCCTCATGAAAGATAAACGCAAATCTCATAAACATAAAGCGTGAAAGTCCGCGAGGATTTCTTGGGTCGGCGCTGGACCTCCCTTCCAGCACCCCTGCATATGGCGCGCCTGGGGCGGCTTCGGATGCGCCTCTGGAGGTGCAGGAAGGATGAATCTAGCGCCGACCCAAGAACTCCGCGCAGACCTTCGACATACGTTGAATGTTTATTGCGAGACTGGGACTTATGCACACCCGCCGCGCGGGCAACCGATGTCCCAGGATATCAGGAGGCAGTTGACACAGACCCTTGACATAGACTCCGTTGGGTTGGCACGGGCCCGAATATGAGAATGCACATCCGCCGCGGCCTGAAGCCCTGGAAATTCGCCTCCAAAAACGGTGGATATGTACACAGTCAAGCTAATACCGTAAAGAACGAATCGACGCCCTTTTCTGTCCCAAACGCGTCTAGGTGTACAAGGAACTCTAGAGGAAGAACCATGGAAGGACCTGGTTATGGAACAGCGAACCCCTTCCGAGCCCGAAGCGTTCCTTATCTCAGCGCCTTGACTGCAAGTCTCACCCTCGATGCTCATGCAATCCTCTTCTCGGTCCAGGGCCAGCCCGAAAATCGACCGTCCGGGCGCGGAAACCAGACCGATTGGCCTGGCGACGCCGCGGAACCGACCGGCTCGGCCCGCGACAGGCTTGTCATTGCCGCAACCCCGCTCCGCGAACGCAAGGAATTCCCCGCCTGGCCCGGACAGGCGATGCCGACAGATCGCAGACCTTTCGGCCCTAACCGGCCTGACCAAATCACAGCGCCGGAAACTGGACCGACCAGCCCAAGAATTTGCTTGGGTCATTCGACGAGGATCGAAGAGGATCGCAGAGCATAGAGAGGATCGACCTGTATTGGGGTGAGTCATGTTGTTTCGGGGAGGTCTCTGACCTCGGGCTGCGGGTGGAACTCACCGGCGACGCGCCTCCGCCTCTCTGGCTGGCCGCCTGGGCGGCGCGCAGCTCGCGGCGCTTCCGCAGGCGCCTGCGCAGGCCGCCCAGGCAGGCCGCGCAGCGCTTGCTCAGGCACTTCACGCCGAGGTCGGAGGTCACCTCTTTAGGAGGCAACTCCTGGGAGGTCTTCGTCAGAACGATGAAGGGCGATCGATCCAAATTGGGGGGCCACTGAACAGGATCAGGCCAGATTAAGCCTGGGATTACACCACGTCTAACGGAGGGAAATGTCAGCGCCGATTCTAGAGTTATCCTCCCAGGAGTTGAATCCTAAACCTCTGGGGGCGGGGGGGGCGAGGCCCAGCCCTGAGACGATGGCACGATGAGCAAAACTTCGGAGGATGATAAATCGAGAATCCGCCGACCCCTCGTGGGTCTCTAGGCGTGTGAGATTCCTCCCCCCCGTAATCCCCCCCAGGGACCCCAAGCCGGCAACTCGACCCCCCCACCCCGGGCCCGGCCGGACCCCGGACCGAACGCGTCACAAGGCTCCACAATTCGTCAAAAAAGACACCACAACTCGCCAAAAAAGGAACCAAAACGCTCCCCGGACGGTCCCCGAGACCACGATTCGCCGACATGGCGCCCCCAGACGCCCGCGATGGCCTCCAGGCGGTCTCCGAATGCCAAGACGCTACAAAAAGGCCGCTAAGATGCGCCCCGAGAGGGTCGCAAGAAACAGAAATCGGCCCATTTCCTTTCGAAAACCACGCATCTCTCCGCATGCTCGCCTATTCGGCAATCACAACGCTTTGGGGCGCTGAGGGTCCAACAATAGCCCACGAAGCTACCAAGACAGCCGAGAGGGCCCCCAGACGGCTCCAACACGGAGTCCACAGGGCACCTTTTGGAGCCTTCGGCTCCAAGACGCTCCCAGCCTGCTCCAAAAACACCCCAAAAGGGCCTGCAGGACCTCCCAGAAAACCTCCGAAGCCTCCAAGAAGCCACGAGGAAGTCCCCAAGAGGCCCCAAAACTACCTGCAAGACGACCCCGTCAGGCCTCGCACGAGATCTTCTTCACCATCCGTGTGGCCGCCTACCTGTATACCGCGCATGGTGGCGGGATGCGCCACGTCCCATTCGACAACGACTCGTCCAGTTTTTGGACCGCCGCATGCCGTCTATGGGCGCGGGTGTTGACAGGCATGTTCCCCAAAGCGTCATTCCTCCTTCTCCTCTTTCTCCTCCTCCAATGACCCTCCCCCGCCTCTCCCCCATCCTCCCCCTCCTCCTCCTCCGCTTTCTCATGTTTGGTACCATGCCACCATCTCCGCGTCTCATCATCACCACCATCACCACCAACATCATCATCGCCATCACCCGCACCATGACCACCGCCATCACCATCACCACCACCACGGATCACCATCACCACCGCCACGGATCACTGCCTTCTCGCGTGTCTGGACACATGTGATGCAACCCGCATCCGCCAACCCCATTCGGGGCCTCCAAACGTGTAAGATTCGTCCCGTGAACGGCCCCACATGCCCCCAGACTCGCTCGGGGATGGCCCCGAAGAGCCGCGAGCCCGCCCACCCAAAGAAACAAGACAACACAAGTACGCCCCAGGACAGCAACACGACATCCCCAAGACGATCAAGGGGTCGGCGGTGTGGCGTAAGCCTATAGAATCCACGTCCGGAGGTGACGTGCTGAGCGGCAGCGTTTTTTCTGCGAACGCCTTAATGCAACGTATCCGATGTATCCAAAGATTCCATAATTGCAACAGATGGTACTGTGTTACATTATTATGTCTCCCCCCTAGAGCCCCCTGGGAGCTGCGCCACACCGCTGGACCAAAGTGACGCCCCCATTCTGGGGCCCAAAAATTTTACAACAACCTATGACAAATCAACAAATTCGGCCTCTTGGGCCTCTTGGGGCCCCAAGAGGGCCTCAAGATGGCCCAAGATTGCCCTAAGAACGGCCCAAGATATTCCCAACGGGGGGCCATGAGGCCCCCAAAACGGCCCCAAGAGGTCCCCCAAAGCTCCAAGGACGGCCCAACAGGGCCCAAGAGCGCCCATAACTGCGCCTCCAGAAGCCGAAATCATTGATTTCCCGATGGTTCTTGCAATATTTTAGCGTTCTCGTCTTTTTCGGCTTTCAAAAATCCATGACGGCCCAAGCAGCTTCCAGAATCGCCCCAGAACAGCCCAAAAAGCCCCCAAGAGGGCCCCAAGACGGCCCAAGAGGGCCCCAAAACGACCCAAAGAGGCCCCCAAGACGGTCCAAGAGGCAGCGAAGACGGCCCAAGAGGACCACAAGAGGGCTCCAATGCGGCCGCGAGAGGCCCCCAAAACAGCCTCCGAGGGGGCGGAGCGGCGCAAAAGCGCCCCAAGACGGCCCAAGACGCCCCCAAGAGGCCCCAAAAGGCCTCCAACAAGAACTGCGGCGCAGGGCCAGCCAGGTGGAAGTTGGTCACTGCGGCGCCCATGATTGGAGCCGGCGATGGAAGGGAAGATGGGGAGGGTGTATGAAAAGGAAGGAGGGGGGAAAGCCCCCAAAGAAGCCCCCAAAAGGCCAAAAGAAACTCCCAGGAGGCCTCCAGGAGGCCCCCAAAAGGCTCCCAAGAGGCCCCGCGACGAAGTGACTGTACGTGCTCCGGACGTGCACCCCGCGAAGCGAGAGGAATCCACGTCCGGAAGTGACGTGTTGCCGGAGGCAGGTCCGCGGAGGCTATAATGCAACACATCCAACTTATCCAATGATTGTATAATTGCTACATATTGTATTGTGGTACATTATTAGGTCTCCCCCCCTGACCCCCCCCAGGGGCCACACCAGTTCCGCCGACCCTAAGTGGCCCCTCCCCTTCTGCGCCTCAAAAACGTACAAGGTCCAACCAAAACCTATGGAAATTTTATGATTTGGGCCCCGTGGCCCTCTTGGGGCCCCAAGCGGGCGTCCAGGCGGCCCAATATGGCCTCTGAACGGGCCAAGACGGCCCCAAGACGGCCCGACATTGCCGCAAGAGAGCCCAAGAAACCCCGAGGATGGCCCAAGAGGGCCCCACGACCGCCCACAACTGCGCATCCAGAAGCCAAAATCATGAATGTTCCTATTGTTTTTTGATGATTTTAGCGTTCTCGCCTTTTTCCAACTCTCAGAGGCCCACGACGGCCCAAACAGCTTCCAAAATGGCCCCATAAAAAGCCCCAGAGGCTCCGAAGAGGGTCTCAAAACGGCCCAAGAGGGCCCAAAGAGCCCCAACACGGCCCAAGAGGGCCCCCAGACAGCCCAAAGAGGCCGCCGAAATGCCCCAAGAGGCCCCCAAGACGGCCCAACAGTACCCCAAGACAGTCTCCATAGGGACCAGACAGCGCAAGGGCGCCCCCAAGGCGCCCACACCGGGCTTCGAGAGGCCCCCAGGCGGCCTCCCACAGGCCCCGAAGAGGCCTCCCAGACGCCCCCGCGAGGACCCAAGAGGCCCCAAAGAGGCCTCCAAGGGGCCCCCAAGAAGTTCCCAGAGGCCCGACAACGACTGGACTGTACGTGCTCCGGACGTGCACCCCGCGAAGCGAAAGGAATCTCTGAGAGCGCTACGCTGTGAGAGTTGTCTCGAACGCTCTGGAACGGTTTATCCTCATTCTGGGTCTGCCTGGTGCCCCCTCGCATCGTGAACATAATCATGGCGGAAAGTGTCCCCGGTGGAGGCCCTGGCCCAGGGTTCTCTCTTTGTGCTGCGAGGCCTCTAGACCCTGACTGGATGGGGTGTGACGCAGGGCGCGTCGCAGTGGCCAGCGGTTATCTTCTCACGCGTGCATCAGCAAATAACCTCAGGCCTGTGCAGTCAGTGGTGAAGATTGGAGCCACGGGTTTACATGTTCTTTATCTGGATCCGGATCTGAACACTGGTCTGGACCCGTGCGTACATCAGAAGCAACTGCTGAAACCTGTTCATTTAGGGACGGGCATTGGGTCGCAGCAGTCCTCGAGGGATCATTCTGGAACCCTCAAGAATCTTCAGGAACATTCTGGAATCCTCGGGAAACTTCAGAAATCCGAGAAGAATCCAATTGGACTCCGATTGTGGTCCTATTGGGATCATCTTACTTTGTGAGATCCCTCACTGAAGGTTCCGGGGGCGGGACGTTCATTTCAGGGGCGGAGAATGATATAGTTGCCGGCATGGGGGGGGCGGATAATTGCACGTCGCGGCTACATGGGAACCGCGTTATCGCTCGAGTTCCTCGCGATCCATGCACGACTGACGCTTCAGCGACCCGCCCGCTAGAGTCCGCCGTCTGGGCCCTCCCGCCCGACCCGCCCCGCCCGACCCGCCTGCTGATCTCTGTTCGTGTTCCATCCTGCTCTTCCCCACCTGTCCCGTCCCTGCTCCCTTCCGGGACAGGGGCGGATCGCAGCCACCTCGGGCCGACCGTCGACCACTTCGGACTGATCACAACCGGAAGTGGACCGACCACAATCGGTGGCGATTGAGCTGAAACAGTTGCGATGCTTTGAGGAAGCTGTAAATTGTTTCGAGGAAGTGAGGCTCTCAAGAGGATTTTTGGATGCCATGGGCTCCCGTAGAACCCCCAGAGCAACTTCGGAAGAAAATGCGATCGGGCCGATCACCGACGTTTTGATACGCCCCGAAGAAGCTCCAGAGAGACCCCCAAGATGCTCCAAGCGGTCCCCCCAAAACACGCAAGAATCCCAAAGATGCCTCAGCAAAAAGGTCAACATCATTCATTCTAATTACAAGGGCTTGGCCCACGTTTGGGCCTCCTGGGGGGACCCTAGTGTAGTACGGACCCTCCTTTGATTGATCTCCTCCAACATGGCCCTGGAGCAAGAGGGCCCCAAGCGGTGCCCAAGAGGCCCAAAGCGGCCCCCAATATGCCTCTAAAAGGGTTCCAGGAGACCCCCAAGAGGCTCCAAGAGGCCCCCCAAAGGCACCCAAAACGCCCCAAGAGGCCTCGGAAAGAAGGCCCAATACTTGATTTTACAACGCTTTTTGGCCACAGTTGGGCCTTCTGGGGTGGGAACTTGAATAAGGACGCCCCCATCCTTCGATCGATCTCCTCCAAGACATCCCCAATTTGCCCCCGAGGCCCCCAACGGTGCCCCAAGACGACCCCAAAAAGTGCCCGAGAGGTCCCAAGAGGCCCCCACGACGGTCCCAAGATGCTCCCAAGAGGTTCCCAAGAGATCCGCAAGATGCCCCACGAGGCCCCAAGAAGCACCCAAGACGCCTCAAGAGGCCGCTAGGACTGCCAACAAAACCCCACGACGCCCCAAGAGGACCCCAAGAAGCTCTCGAAACAAATCCGAAGAGACCCCGAGAGGCATCCAAGCAGCCTTTGGCAGTTCTACTCGCCCTCCTCGTCCTCCTCCTCGTCCTCATCCTCCTCCTCGTCCTCCTCCTCCTGTTCGTCGTTGTCGTCGTCCTCCTCCTCCTCCTCCTCCTCCTCCTCCTTCTCCCCTTCCTCTTCATCCTCATCGGCCTGTTCCTCCCTCCTCCTCCTCTGGCTTCTCCTCCTCTTCCTCCTCTTCCTCCTTCTCCTCCTCCTCCTCCTCCTCCTCCTCCTGCTCCTCCGGTTCCCCCGTGCAGCCTCTTGCCCAGCCCTGTCTTCCACATCATTATCCTCCACATCCCTGACAGGGTAACCCGTCTGGGCCTCGTTTCTTTTTTTTCTCTCCGGCGATCGCCAGCCGAACCTCTCGTCAGTCAGCGCACCGCGGCCATCAGGACTAGAGCATGGAACGATACGACTTAGCATAAAAACGCATCGGCGCCAGGGGCAGAAGCGGAGGAGGAGAAGGAGGAGGAGGCGGACGAGGAGGGAGCGAGGGTAGCTCAGCCGCCAACATTTCGGCTGACCCGCACGCCGACGGCTTTAAAGTCTGGCCCCTGCCAGAAAAAGAAAGCACCGGCCACTGAAGGAGGCGCAGAAGGAGGGAGGAGAAGCCGAGAGACGCGCGCGACCCCACTCAGCGCAGCCAGTGGAACGGTGCAATGCTGGAAGAAGGGGAACAAGAGGAGACAGAGAGAGAGAGAAAGATAATAACGATAAAGCGGAGGACGAGAGAAAAAAAGAAGGCAGGGAAGACAAACAAACAATGCTGTGACGGGTAATCATAGAAGGCGACTCCAACCGGCGGGCGCCGGAAGCTTGCTGAGTAACAGGAGCCCGCGCGGCGGGAGTGCCCGTCGCATGCACGCGTACAACTACAGATGCACAGAACGGGGCCAAAGGAAGGCCAGGGGAAGGGAGACGGGAGCAGAAGGAAGGCGAAGCAGCGACGCATCGCGCATCACCGAGGGGAACTCCAGACTGCCGCCAGCGGCCGACCTCAGAAGGCGAGGCCGATGGACGTGAACATGATGTCCCAGTGAGTGGCCATACCACCACCCCATAAGGCGCACCCCACCCCATCCACTCAACGACCAAAAGAACATGATGTGCTGTTCTGGCGGCATTGGCGTTGGAGCCGGCAACCGTGCTGGGGGCGGTGCCGTGGTGCTGCTCTCGGTCGTACCGCTCGCTGGCGTGCTGGGCGTAGTGGTGCTGCTGGTCTCGATCGTGCTCGTCTCATTCGTGGTGCTGCTCTCGGTCGTGCACCTCGTCGACGCTCTGGGCGTAGTGGTGCGGCTGGTATCGGTCGTGCTTGTCCTACTCGTGTTGACGCTCTCGGTCGTACTGCTCGCCGACGTGCTGGGCGCAATGGTGCAGCTGGTCTCGGTCGTGCTCTTCCCACTCGTGGCGCTGCTCTCGGTCGTGCTGCTCGCCGACGTGCTGGGCATAGTGGTGCTGCTGGTACCGGTCGTGCTCGTCACTCTCGCGGTGCTGCTCTCGGTCGTGCTGCTCGCCGACGTGCTGGGCGTAAGGGTGCTGCCGGTCTCGGTCGTGCTCATCCCACTCGTGGTGCTGCTTTCGGTCGCACTGCTCGCCGAGTTACTGGGCGTGGTGGTGCTGCTGGTCTCGGTCATGATCGTCCCACTCGTGGTGCTGCTCTCGATCGTGCTGCTCGCCGACGTGCTGGGCGCCCTTGTGCTGCTGGTGCCGGTCATGCTCGTCACTCTCGTGGTGCTGCTCTCGGTCGTGCTGCTCGCCGACGTGCTGGGCGTAGTGGTGCTGCTGGTGCCGGTCATGCTCGTCATCCTCGTGGTGCGGCCCTCGGTCGTGCTGCTCGCCAACGTGCTGGGCGAAGTGGCGCCGCTGGTACCGGTCGTGCTTGTTACCCTCGTGGTGCGGCCCTCGGTCGTGCTGCTCGCCAACGTGCTGGGCGTAGTGGTTGATGGTCTCGGTCGTGCTCATCACACTCGTGGTGCCGACGTGCTGGGCGTAGTGGTGTTGCTGGTACCGGGCATACTCGTCACCCTCGTGGTGCTGCTCTCGGTCGCTCTGCTCGCCGACCGTCTGGGCCTCGTTTCTGGATGGGCTGGCGGGATTACGCGATGCGTCTAGCATATTCACCACTGACGACGACGACGCGCGAAAGAAGCATAGAGTCGGGCGGGCGAGCGGGTCATGGGATGCAACTGGCACTCGGCATGGGACGTCCCGAAAAGAAACAAAAAATGGCACCGTTTGCAACAGTTCCTTACGACACCGACGATGGGCGAGCGCGCGCGCCCTTCCACATGTCGCTCGGGCGCCAATGCTGCGATCCGCTGCTTCACGCTCTGGCGCAGCAGCAGCAGGAGGGGACGAGGAAGGGCGGAAAAGGGGGAAAAACCAAGGCGGGCCGGGATCCCCGGAAACCCTGACGGGTATACCATCCAAAAAAAACATGCGCCACGAACGAGGGGTAGACAACAGGCTCAAGGTGGCGGATCTGTCCGGACGACTTGGGACGGGCGCTCGTGAAGGCTCTGCCCCGCCATGCGGAGCACTCAGCCGCTCCCCACAAGCACCACAAGTGGCCCACGCTGGTGAACCATCGGACAGCCTGCGGTGTGGCCTCGGGCACGTGGAGGGGCACGTCGACGAACACCATGGCGAGCTGGTCCTTGGGGGCCGCGGACTGGGTCACGTGCACAGAGGACTAGTTCGACGACCACGTCCCGCCCGCGGAGCTGAAGATCGAGGCGCGACCCAGGCAGCCTACGGACATGCTGAGGTGGGCCAAGCAGGCCCAGAATGGCCTCTGGGTGGCATGCCTGGTGCACGGAGAGGAGCACTGGGATGAGAGGTCGGAGGCCCTGGATACCCTCATCAGTCTTCACTAGGAGGAGCCGAGGAAGTACACGAGCAAGTACGTGCAGGACGCTTGGGAGGATCTAGCTCGAGGTGATGGGAGGGGGTCAAGTGAAGAGTGAAGGAGGTGCTGCGGGTCTGCAACAAGGACCAGCCCCGCACGGACGACTTCATGTTCGCCGCCCTGACGCCCACGGAGACTGGTGAGCTCCTTCTCGACCTGCTGGACATGTTCGAGATGGACAATCCTGACGGCTGCTACCGGCCCGTGATCCTGGCAGGGGGAGCGCCAAGCCCAGAAAGCGTACTGGGATGGTCCCCATTGCGCGCAGCTGCGGCCTCTGGCGGCTGGCGAAGCGCCAAGGAGAGGAGGAGACGCTGGAGGCGGAGGAGGCGGCTCAGGCGCCAGCGGCCAGGGGACGCGCGTGGCGGGCGGGCCCAGGGCCCGGGCCGGGGAAGGACGCCCGAGGAGGAGGGAGCGCCAGAGGAAGAGGCCCAAGGGTGCTGCCCCCGCCGGGGGTCCTGAAGGTGCTGACCCAGAAGGAAGCCATCCAGTCGCTCGATGCTCGAGTACGCGCGGCGAGACTCGAAGGGGAAGCCCAAGTGTTGGGACGTCTCTTGCCACGATGGGGGCATCAAGACGGCCACGACGTGTGCGAGTTCACACGCTGAGGGTATCAAGCAGGCCGAGAAGTTGCACGGGGCGATGAAGACCCATTTCATCAAGCGCAGCGGCCTTAAGACAGGGGTGAGGATCCCGCCCGGAGCGCGAATGGCATAGGTGCAGCAGCTGAGGGAGGAGGCGAAGAAAGAGTAGCGGGTCAAGAGCAGGCAAGGCAGTGCACGCGACGCAGTGCGGGCGTCGAGCTGAGCGCACTGGAGGAATACCTGGAGGTTAACTTCACTGCCCAGGAGGACGAGCTGCAGCAGTACACCCTGGGGCCGAACATGGACTGGCGAACTGATCATGCAGCGAAGGAGGCCGTGGTATACGCAGTTGCCCGCGGAAATGCCGAAGGCTGCGCACACGCACGCCCGTGGGGCCAGGGAGTTGGTAGGAGGCGTAGGAGGAGGAACATCAGAAATCATGCTGAGGGTGACAGAAACAGAAGAGGAGGAGAAGTAGGAGGAGGAGGAGGAGGAGGAGGAGGAAACTGGGGAAGCATGAGGGCCAAGCGGAGGAGAGAGGTGAACGAAGAGGAGGAACAACTACATGTTAACAATTAGTAGGAGGATGAGGAGAACAGAAGTAAAGAAGGAGGAAGCGGGGTCAGGAAGTAGAGACCCCAGGAGGATGACCAACATTGTGAGAAATTCTCAGGCAAGGACCAAGCCAGAACACGCAACACGGCGAGGCTTATACTAAAATACCGATACCACTGGGGGTCAAGGTTCCGAACAAATCACCAAGTCTGGGAAAGGCGGAGCTAGTGAAGGGGGGAAGGGGGGAATCAGCTGCATGTAGCTTGTTCTTCTGGCGTCTTCTGGCGCCAGGAGCGACGGAGCCAAAACTAGCTGCATGCAGCAATTTGCGTGGCCCCTGCCCCCCTGTGCACCCACCCCATTCACCCGTCCAGGACCTTCAGGAAGAAGGCCATCGGCATCAGCACGAGCCCAGCCAGCACCGACGCCTGGTACATGCGCACGCCAGTGCCCCTGAGCAGGCAGTCGAGGGTCCCCATGGCAGCCATCGGATTAGAGACGTACTCGGTGGCATACGCCAGGGACAGCAGGGCTGCCGCATGCTCGCCGTAGATGGTGTCAACCATGCCCTGGAAGTCTGTGGCCGCAAAGGCAATGCCCGCGAACATGGCGTAGTTGACGCAGATCTTGAGGATGACCGAATGCAGGGCCTTGAACTCCCTCCCGGACCCGTGGAGGGTCGCCATTACGAGCAGCTTGATGTACAGCGCGTACATGCAGAATGTGAGGAAGATCCCGAGTGCATTCCACATCGCGTCTCCGCACTCGGTGCACTTGCCGCGGCCCCGAGAATAGCCTGGCTCGCATTGCATGCACAGGATGCCCGTTTGGTGCTCGCTGCACTCGTTGTCGCCGACGCAGTCGCCGGCGTCACACTGCATGATCAGGAGCGGATCTCCGAGGGGCAGCTTGTAGTAGCCCGCGGTGGCGTTCGGCTCCCCTGGCCGCAAGCCAAGAGGGCAGTAAGCGCCTCGTGAAGGCAGAGAATGAGAAAGAGTTGGAGGAGGAGGAGGAGGAGGAGGAGGAGGAGAAGGAAGAGAAGGAGGAGGAGGAGGAGGAGCAGGACAAGGGGGAGGTGGAGGGAAGACGGGGGAGAAGGAGGGAGGACGGGGGAGGAGGGAGGAGGAGGAGGAGGAGGAGGAGGAGGAGGAGGAGGAGGAGGAGGAGGAGGAGGAGCAGGGCAGGCGGAGGAGAAAGAGGAAGGAGGATAATAGGGGGAGAATGCAGCAAAGAGGAGGAGGAGGAGAAGGAGGAGGAGGAGGAGGAGGAAGAGCAGGAGGAGGAGGAGGAACACACCCGTAAAGGGGAAAGTCTGGGGAGAGAAAGGAGGAAAACGGGGGGATGCGCCCAACGAGGGAGAACTGCTTCATACCACGCGGGGGATGGCAATCCCCGCCTGGGCCTAAATCAACCCCAGGCACCACCGGGCTCGGTCTCAGGCCCGGCCCGATATGCTTGGGCCTCAGCACGGCGTGCCACCACGCTTCTCCCGAACTTCTCAGCCTATGCGCGGGATTCGGAATAGCAAGACAGAAGCATAATCCAGCCTCATCCGAACAGGTGTCGAGCCCGCACACCCCTCCAATGCCACGCCAAAGCGCGCCGACCAACGCTCCCGGGTGGCCGCGAAAGGGGCGCGGGGCTCGTCAAGAGCGACGCGCGGATCGGCAGGATGCAGAATGCTCCTCAGGCGCTGCGGGCCGCTGGTCCTGATCTACGACGCCTAAGCCGCTTGCACCAACTATGGCTGAGGCCCAACAGAAATTGCGAACCAAAGGTGTCCTATGGAAATCACCTGATTGTGCAGCGCGAGCTTGTCCTCACGTGAATCACTAGATTGTGCAGCTGGAGCGTCAGTTTCGCCAGTAGATGACCTGTCAGCAGCTGGAGGTACAACAGGCGCCTCAGTGTCGACAGGAATGGGAGCCAAAATACTTGAGGCTGTCTTGACGCTGCTGCAACTCGAGCTTAACCCAGGAAAGACGCTGGTCTCGTCTCGCTCGTAGGAACGAGATCTCAGAAGGTTGACAGGTTGGTGCATGTTTTTGGAGGGTCGAAGTAACTTCTCCAGTGCACCAAGTGACTGTCAACATCGATTACTCCGACGAAAGGACCCCGCATGAGAATCTGTTTAGCTTGCCCTTACCATTTTCTTCCTCGCCCTGACGGACACTCTCCTCTCGCCCGCCGTTCTGCCCTCACCTACTCCCCCTCCTTTAATTTCTCCTCCTCCTCCTCCTTCTCCTCCAAATTCAAGCCTGAGGAGCCCAAAAATGACGACAATTACCAACATGAAATGCGGGAAAGCATGGACGATTCTTGCGGTGTCCGGTGTCCGGTGTCCGGTGTCCGGTGTCCGGAGTTCGGTGTCCGGTGTCCGCTGCGCGGTGTGGGTGTCGGTGTCCGGTGTCCGGTGTCCGGTGTCCGGTGTCCGGTGTCCGGTGTCCGCTGCGCGGTGGGTGTCGGTGTCCGGTGTCCGGTGTCCGGTGTCCGGTGTCCTGGGTCCGCTGCGCGGTGGGAGTCTGGTGTCCTGGGTCCGCTGCGCGGTGGGTGTCTGGTGTCCGATGTCCGGTGTCCGGTGTCCGCGGTGTCCGCTGCGCGATGGGTGTCTGGTGTCCGGTGTCCGGTGTCCCGTGCCCGTGTCGGGTGTCCGCGGAGTCCGGTGTCCGGTGTTCGGTGTCCACCGCTGCGCGGTGGGTATTTGGTGTCCGGTGTCCGGTACCGGACACCGGACACCAGACCGGCCACTAAGACGGCAGACAGCGCAAGAGGCCGCCAATACAGCCGAAGAGGGCACATAGGGTTTGTAGATCTTATAGGGCTCATAGGTCTCATAGGCCTCGTGGGGCTCAAGGGCTCAGGCCTTATAGCGCTCACAGGGATCACAGGGCTAGTAGATCTCAGAGGGATCATAGAACTCGTAGTGCTCATGCGACTCGTAGGGCTCATTGGGCTCAGAGGACTCATGGGGCTCGCAAGGCTCATGGAACTCATAGGGTTCACAAGGCTCACCGGTCTCATAGGGCTCGTAGGGCTCGTAAGGCCCTCAGGGCTTCATAGCGCTCGTAGGGCCCATGGGGCTCGCAGTGCTCATTGAAATAATTGTTTAATTATTTTCACGTTCGCTTGCGTGCTCATTGAAATAATAATTTTGATTAGCATTTAATTTTTCATCCACCTACCTCTCCACCGTCATCGTTCCTCGCCTCCTCCACAGTGCCAATGGTTAAATGAGCAAGTGCACCACGCAAATAATTAAATAAATGATCAAATGATTATTTAATTGCTTGCATGTTCGCTAGCGTGCTCATTGAAATAACAATGTTGCTTAGCATTGAACCTGCATCGTTCCGCGCCTCCTCCACACAATGCCAATGGTTAAATGAGCAAGGAACTGTGCAAATAATAAAATTAATGATTCAATCATTATTTAATTATTCACACGTTCGCTTGCGTGCTCATTGAAATAATCATTTCGATTATCATGCAATCCGTATCGTTCCGCGCCTCCTCCACACAACGCCAATGGTTAAATGAGCAAGGACACCACGGAAATAATCAAATAAACAATTACAGAATTATTTAATTATCTAAATGTTCGCTTGCGTGCTCATTGGAATAACCATTTTGATTAGCATTCAATTCGTCATCGTTCCGCGCCTCCTCCACGCACTGCCCATAGTTAAATGGGCAAAGGAACCACGCAAATAATTAAATTAATAGTTAAATAAGTATTTAATGATTTACTTATTTACGTGTTCGCTTACGTGCTCATTGACATTCAATCAGTCATTGTTCCGCACCCCCTCCACACAGTGCCAATGATTAAATGAGCAAGGGAACCACGCAAATAATTAAATACATAATCAGATCATCACTTAATTATTCACATGTTCGTTTGCGTGCTCACCAAAATAACCAATTGGATTAGCATTCAATCCGCCTTCGTTCCGTGCTAAATAACTATTTAATTATTTGCATGTTCGCTTGCGTTACTCATTTTTAACGTAAGATGACATGAATGCGCTCAGCCATTCTCTGTAAAACCCCGAGCACCAGCCTGAAAATACAATGCAAGACCATAGTTTCCTGCTTACAAAACTAGAGAATGAAAGTGCCAAACGATTGGAATTTGGAGCCCGGCCCGAAAATTAATAAAAAAAAAAAAAAAAAAAAAAAAAAAAAAAAAAAAAAAAAAAACTGTCAGATTTTCCTGCTTACAGGACAGTAGATAATGATTATGCCAATCGATAGTCTGTCAGAATTCGGACCCCAGCCTGACAATTCAAAAGAAGGCCACAGTTTCCTGCTTACAAAACAATAGGGAATGAATATGACCAACGACTGTCTGTCAGACTTCGGAAACCGGCCTGAAAATCCAGAAACAACCATAGTTTCCCGCTTACAAAACAGTAGAGAATGCACGCGCCAAACGATTGTCTGTCAGATTTCGGGCATCGGCCGATTTTTGGTTAAGGCATAGTTTCCTGCTTACAAAGCAACAGAATGAATACGCCAAGCGATTCTCTCAGATTTCGGACCCTGGCCTGAAAATTCAAAATCCTATAGTTTCCTGCTGACAAAACAATGGAGAATCAATGCGCCCAACGATTCTCTGACAGACCTGGACCTCGCCGGTGTATTTTTTAAGGCCCTAGTTCCCCGCTTCCAAAACAATAGAGACTGAAAACCCTAAGCGAGAAAGAAAGGGAAAAAGGTGAAAGGAGAGAGAGAAAGAGAGAGTGAGAGAGAGAGGAATAGGAAAGAGAAAGAGAAGGATAAAACGAAGTCCAAATGAGAGAACCTAACGACACTAACTAAGTGCTCTACCAATGGCACCCCAACAAACAAAAACAAAACGCTCGAACCGCATGGACCTGTATAAGGGCTGGCGCCCAGAGGAGGGGGGGGATGGAGGAGAGGAGGGGGTGGAAGGGAGGGGGGGGGGGCAGAGGGAGGAGGCGGGGGGGGGGGAGGAGGTGGGGAGGGGGGGGAGAAAGGGACAAACTAGGTGCGCTCGCGTCATATCTGACATCCTACCCCTCCCTCCCATCCCTTACCATGGCGCAGATCCCTTCTCTACTCGCACAGTCGGATGTCGAGCAGGGCAATGATCCCGAAAGGGTACGCGGTACGCGATGCATTGTAGAGCACGGCGTGGCATGGCGTAGATGAGCACCGCGAAGCGTAGTATCAACCTGGCATTGCATTGCATGCCGTGGCATGGCGCGGGAAATGACGCCAACGCTGCAGCGGGAGCACGAGTCGAAACGAGCGGAAACACGGAAATGAGGCCAGCGCTGCAGCGGGAGCACGATTCGGAACGAGCGGAAGCACGCCGGAATCGGCCCAGGAGGCTCCCGGGCGCCAGAAGCAGAAATTCAGCATTTTCAAAACAGAAATGTGTATTGGAATGGCCTTTTTTCGGCGCCGCCTCGGAACTCGATTTTCCGGCGCCGGCCAGAACCGGCTCCGGACCCGGCCCGAGCGCCGGCCCGGGCGCCGGCTCGAATCGGGCGTGCAGCCCGGGCGCCGGCGGAAATGATGCCAACGCTGCAGCGGGAGCACGATTCGGAACGAACGGGGCCCGAAAATGAGGCCGGCGCCTCAGCGAGAGCAGCATTTTGGATTTCAATGCAAGCGAAAACCCAATTCTGGGGAAACCTGTGTGTAAAAAACAATACGCTGGAGGGGGGGGTCGGATACTTTCAAGCAGTCATCAGGGGAAGAGGGAGAGTATTCATATTGAGTAACTGTGGAGGGGAAGGAAAAGAGGAGGGACAAGCTCCGCCGCGGACCACCTCGCGTCTCCCCTGACATCCAGCGTCGCATCCTCCTTCCTCCTTTTCCTCTTCCTCCTCCTCCTCCTCCTCCTCTTCCTCCTCCTCCTCCTCCTCCTCCTCCTCCTCCTCCTCCTCCTCCTCCTCATCATCATCATCATCATCATCATCATCCCCGTCACCGCCCTCCTCCTGCCTCGTCTTTGTTTCTCGCC